TATTTTAAGAAATTACCAGCCAGACCGGTCCAGCTGAAGGATTTGCAAAAATTTGCATGATTTTCGGGTTTTGACCAGAAGTTAATTAGTAAATTTTTTACAGATCGGCAAAATAACCATTTTTTAACAAAAAAAAGGACCAAAAAACTCAGAAAATCATGTTTGTTCACAACTTTTCTCTGGAACACTAAATTCCCGGCAGCCATTTTTTTGGAACAGCTAGGCGCAGTAAATTTTTATATTAAAAACGTCTATAATTACAAATACAAAAATATGGTTTTCTCAATAAATATTTACTCAAATTACATGAAAATTGAGATTCTAATCGTTGAGAACCAACCCAACAACTTTTATTATTGAAATAAAATCGATTGTGCTTAAATTAAGAGTTGAAAATTTGCCTTTGTAAAATAAAACGTCATTTTTATCAAAACGCAGAAACGTCTTATCAAAGTATAACGTAAAAATGCGATATCTCTACGAGTTTTTGTCCAAAAAAGCTCAAATTTCACGGGTAAACTCTCGAATACCATCTCTAAAACCTTTGTTAGAATCGTACAACATGTTTCATTTGACCGTTATACCTAAATTGATCGATACGTTCCTGCAAACAAAAATAAAAAATTCGTCATTAGTTCTCATTACAAAAACGTTGATAACTCGATGAAAATATATGCAATCAAGCTGAAAATTGAGATTCTATCTCTTGAAAACTACCCTAATAACTTTTGTTAGAGACGTAAAGATTGTTTCATTTGAAGAAAGTGGTCTTCTGATCGATTCAATTCCGTCAGCAATTTTGCGAAAACGTAAAGAAAAATAAAAAATTCGTCATTAGTTCTCATTACAAAAACGTCGATAATTTGATGAATACACATGCAATTAAGCTGAAAATTGAGATTCTAGCTTTTGAAAACCATGCGAATAACTTTTGTTAGAGACGTAAAGATTGTTTCATTTGAAGAAAATGGTCTTCTGATCGATTGAAATCCGTCGGCAATTTTGCGAAAACGTATAGACGAAACAAAGACAAAAACGTGAATATCTCTACGAATATTTGACAAAAAAGGCTAAAAATTGATATTCGAATAGTCTAACATTCCATCCACAATTTTGATTAGAAGCGTAAAACAGGTTTTCTTGTGAGAAAGTCATGTAAATTCACGTTGAAGGTTGGGCTATCATGACGGAAAAACTATCAAAAGATAGACGTTTCAATGTAAATCAGATTGTTTTATTTCCTTATGTAGACAATCGACCAAATCTACTTTTGGTAATTTTACTATCATTTTTTAGTTTAGTGTAATTTCCTTATGTAGAATCTACATTTGGTAATTTTATTAAATTTAAAATTTTATACGAACATATAAATTATTTATTTAAAAGTATAAATAAAATGATATTTTGTTTTTTATTATACCAAAACAGTTGTTCCAAAATGTCTCTAACTAAATTACAAAATTTTGATATCAGCGCAAAGCATAAATATTTGAATTTCACTGCATATCATTTTGATAGAAAACAGTTTAATTCTTTGGTAGAAAACTATTTCAAAAGTGATAAAAATCCATTTCGTTATATCAAATATCAATATGAGAGAAATTATAATCCCCAACAAGATCAAAAGGATATACACATCCAAGGAATATTAATTCTCAAAGATTCGACAAGAATTGGAAAATATTTAAAAGCTGGTGAAAAAAATAGAAAAAAAGACAGTATTTCAGGTGTCAAAGGTCTTTTACAAATGAATAAAACTCATTTTGAAGGTGTTGCAAGTACTGAGGATTCTGTTCGTTATACCGGAAAAGATTATAACAAATGCTCATTACACCATAAAAAACCTATTGTTCAAAATGATCCAAAAAGTAAACTTATGTACTGTCGATGTGATTATTTTGATCTAGACAAACATTGTGAATGGTGCAATGAAGGATGTAAACCTTATAGAACCTGGGCAAGATATGATTCTGAATCTGGACCGTTTGAGTTTGGAACTTATAAAACAAAAAATAATAATCCGTTTGGAAAAAATAAATTTGTTGACAGAACTCCTGATAAACATCAAGTTTCGATTGAAATCATGGAGGATCTTATTAA